AATCAGTTAAAATTAAATTAAAAATACTAAAATGATTATTCACCTAATCCTCAGTGAATATTGAGGAATATTTACCTTGCCAAGACTTCTGTCTCAGTAAATATTCCCTGATATTCACTTTGCCTTCAGGGAATAAATTGTTAATAGTAATCCTTTTCATGGTTATTATTATCATCGAACTACATTCATTAAAAAAACATAATGTTTATTTCTAACTTGTCAGTTCAACAGAGATAAACCTGATATGGCAACCAGTTGGCCATCTTCAAGTAAAGAAAATCTAAACTTTGCACGCCTTTCTAAGTTATTGATTGATGGTGGAACACGTGCTTTAAGAGATGTATTTGACTCTATCCATTTACCAAGCTCCCTTCACAGGACACTACTCAGTACAGCAGTGCATTCTACTCTAAGGAGACTGAGAGAAAAGAGGATTCTAAACAAACGACAATGGGACAGACTCTACCCTGTTAGCCGAAGTACATCTGTCACTTCAGCAGATTTTGACATCACACTGTTATTTGTTCTACTGCGTAATATATGTGGTTTAACACCCCCACCAACAGGATGGGACAAGCCTCCTGTTGCTACAGACCTGAGTAGAGAAGCTGATTTGGCTCGAGTCAAATATTATAGAAATGAACTTTATGGCCACATCACAGAAACAGCTGTTAGTGACAGTGATTTTGAGAAATACTGGAGTGAGATCTCAGATGTGTTGCTGAGACTGGGTGGACCTCATTACAAACCAGAGATTGAGAGGATGAAAATAGATACAATGGACCCTGAAGAGGAAAAGAATTCTATTGGAGCAATTAAAGAGTGGGAAGAAATGGAGCATAGATTAATTAGAAAGATGGAGGAGATTCTTGCTAAGAGAGCGAAAAGAAGTTCAGCGGATGCTTCACAGGCCAAAGGTGTGTACAATTGTAGCTTTTAGTATCATCATTTAGTATACCCCTAATGGTTTTTGTATTTTGATAAATCACTTGGGAATACAGTCTTATATTTCACACTAAAACTTTTATATATGTCTTCTAAAGAGATCAATAATAAAAAGGGATGTAATCAAAAGTAGCTAAATATTACAGTGTATATCATGAACACAGGATATGATTTTTAGCAAGAAATAAATATATTCATCTTATTTTAAAGATT